TGAAGGTCTTAAACATAATCTACTTAGTATTAGTCAACTATGCGAAAAGTATACAAAATAACTTTTACAAAGGATTGTTGCATGATTGAACATAATGAAAAGATAGATTATTCATTTAAGATTTTGAGGTTAAATAATATTTATATGCTTAATTTTTTACCCCAAAATTTTCCCTCTCACTTATCAAGAATTTTCTCACAAGATCTCATTGGGTTCAAGACTGCATTAGGGTTTGATCAGCTCAAGACACCTCCTTATGCACTGAGGACCAAAATTAGGGTTTGAGTTGGCACAAGGATTTTTGAACTATCAATGCTTAATATGACTTTCATGGATCATTATGGACCCCCAATATTACTCATGTCAAGTTTCAAGCCTTGGATCACACTTTTGATCAGTCAATTGAACAGTTGACCTAAAAATCAACTGTATTGGGGGAAAAGTTAACCATGGCCAATTTACAGTCAAACTTCATGATTTTTGATCCACATCAACATTTTAGACTCATATGTATCATTTGATCAAGTTTGGACCACAATTCCTCAAGAAATTTGATCAAATCTCCAAAAGGGCAAAATGGTCAAAATTGGGGTTTTGATTGGGAAAGGGCAACTTCTGATTTTTGACCTAGCAAATGATCAATTGGTTTAAGTAATGATATCAAGAGTCAAATTACATAATTTTGATCTAATGACATGATTCAAAACATTACAAGTCCATTGGATTGACAGATGAATTTTGCAGTCAATTGATCAAAAGTCAACTGTATATTGAAAAGTCAAACTTTGACTTTTTGGTCAAATTAAAGTGCCAAGGATCATGATTCATCAGAACATGTCAAAATATGAAACTTGTTCATCAAGAAATCAAGAATTCAAGAATTCAAGATTTCATCTTGAAATGTTAAAATTTCTTAACTTAGAAATTTTTCTAAGTATGAAAATTTTCTTATTTTTCATAACTTTAAGCCAAATTTTCATCATGATGCAAGATGATTCAAGAGAAACTTTCAACATGAAAGTTGTAGATCTCAATGAATTCTACAACTTTTCTTCATACAACTTCTCCTAAAAGTGCTTGGATATCAAGTTATAATTTTGTGAATACATGCTCATGAACTAAAAAAGACTTAGTGAAATTTTGCCCTAGTTAGGCAGATTTTTTACCTAACTTCATGGAAATTTTTCACATATTTACAAGGGGAATATTCAAAATCAATTCAAATATGAGTTGAAGAGCACATTGCAAGATTTTCAAAATATCAAAGAACTCATTGAGATTATTCTTGAGCAAGGAGAACCGAAGGCAAGAAGTTAGGGTTTACAAACTTGAATTACAAGCCATTTTGTGAAGAACACTTGATCCAATCTTCAAGCATGCTGTACAAATCTTGCTTTGCAGGTTTCAAACTTACTAATCACTCAATAATTTAATGTTTACAAAACTGATAGAGCCATTGTCCAAGCATTTGAGCCATTATCCAAGTTGTATTTCCATTTTGGGAAGAAAGTCGCCACTTCCATTTTAGAAAATGCTTGAACCCATACATTGTTGTTTCTGAAACAAAAACATCTAAAAGCAAGAAGCAACATATCTACAACCTGCTAACCACCCTGCAAATCCTTGTACTTCACATTGAAATCATGTTTGTCAACTTTGCTTCAAAAACAAGTAACCAAGCCATAACATGTGATTTCAATTTCTGACTTGTTTCAAGCCTCAAAACCTCTTGCCTATAAGTACATACACTATTTGCAAGATAACACACGAATGCTAGTGCCCTGAAACTATCTCAAACACTCAAAAACCATAAATCTGCTAAAAAACACCATTGATATACAGTTTTAAACCAAAACTCATCATCTTTATTTCCACTCGTGCGTTTTGAAAACCAATCATTCAAACACCTTCTATACATCATACCAAAGCAATCCAGACCCCTGTTTCAAGACTGTAACTCCTCCATTACTATCCACCATTTTCAAACATTAAGCTTGCAGGTTGACTTAAGTAGAGAGATTCAGAAACTTTCAAGGTAAAGTAGGAGTTGGAATACACTCAAGGAGGTCTAGGAAAGCTAAACAAATCCTCAGGCCATCTCAAAAGTTGCTCAAACTCCATTCACGACTCCAGCTGCAAGGGGTAAGTTTTCAAACTTCTATCTCTTCATACAAGCATCTTTTGATCTTGATTTGTGAAGACAAAATGTAGATATCTTTGCTCTAAAGTTGACCATGTTGATAGTTCCCATTTATATTGACTGTGTATAGAGAATTTTGGATTTGAAATTTCTGAGAAAACTAGGTTTCAATTTATGGCCAGTAAAATTAGTTTTCATCTTTGAATTTTAGCTTACATAAGTTATATAGTTGGATTCGTGGAAAGAAACACCACAACTTTCATGTTTGAACTTTCCATTTTTGTGGAGAGATGAAGAAGATACATGTGGTCTGGCTAGGCGCGAGGTTGAAGATGAAGTGGTCTTCAGGAAGCCGTTTCTAATATATATTCATGGTTTGGTTATATGACCGGATGAAACAGCCACTCCAGTGGAAAGCGCACGCGTACTAAGTCACTTCTTACCTAAAGGGCGAGGGTTCAAACCAATGTGAACCCCCCTTTTGTTTTTTTCCATATTTTCTGATCCTCTAACGTTTTTTTTTGCTGGCGCTGGGCCCTTTGGGCCTGACATTGTTTTTTTTATTTGCTAACTCACTTCCCTGCCTACTTTTGGCACCACCTGGTCCATTTATTTTTATTTACTTATTTATTTCATTTTTCCTTTTAAATATATTTTCTAAAAATACTAAAAATCATGAAAAATACAAAAAAATGATACATTTTATATTTTGACTTATTTTATTTTATTTTCCCATGAACAAAAATACTTTATTTACTATACTTTATTTATTTTTCTTATAAAATTAATTAATGTTATATTATTTATTTTTCTTCATACCATTTAAAAATATATTATTTAAATACCAAAAAAAAAAACTAAAAAATATTTTTAAAGCTATAAATATTTTCAAGATAAAAATGCCAAAAATACTTTCCTTAAAAATTATTTTCTTTTGGTTAATTAATAGAATTAGGGGTTTCTTTTAAAAAATATTTTTTCTTAATAAATTCAAACTTAATTAATTATTTTCTTTATTTAAATTAGGTTAAGACAAAAAAGTCTTTCTTTATGAAAATCAAACAAAATTTATCTTCTTTACATTTTTTGTCCTTATACATTTATTCATCATTATAATTTGCATTTATATAATTCTTGTACATATTCAATTTGGTTGTAATAGATTAATTAGATTTATATTATTGCAATCCCCATTCACAAATTGTATACCCCCTCCCACAAGTATTGTAATAGCGTAGTAATTTTAAATTTCGCAATTTATCGCTTTCATATATACAATGCTAGTAATTATGTTTTGTATGGAAAAGTTAAAATCAACCAGATAACAAACCCTAATCCAAGACAAAATCAAGCATGAAAATAATACACTTGCACACAAGCACCCCTAGGGTTATCCCACTTGGTTGCCTTATACAAAATGACCATATTACGCATGTAAGGTATCTTAGCAAAAACAAACAAATAGAAGATCATAGTCCCTCGATGACGTTATCTAAGTTGCCTTACAAATGATCTTAGTCCCTCAAAAAGAATGCTAAGATACCTTGCAACGTTGCTAATCATGGCTATACGATGGCTCACGTCCGTCCCGTTTACATCCAAAGATAGAGTTGCTTACCAAATCAATGGTAAGACAACAATGTCAAAGGAAAAAGAAAATGAACAAGAAAGACATTTGAGTATGTAGATTGCTCCTAGTTACTTGCTCCATTTCAAACAAAAAATCCTTGCTATTTTCAAAAATAAACACTTACACATTTCAAAACATCTTACAAAACTTGAAAACATTTTCAAAAGATCAAACATCCTTGTATACATTCTTACGAACAAGAATCATTACAAAGATTGCCTAAACAATGACCTCTTTACAAAATACTTTCAAAAAACACACTAAGCACAATTTCAAACAAAAGCAAATGATCTAGCAAGTAACTAAGAGCCCATGGAAAACCATGGATGAAAAGGGTGCTAATACCTTCCCTTTTCATAATCCACCCCGAACTCAAGAAATAATCTCAAAGGTCTTTCCTGTGCTTTTTCACCTTTCCTTTTGGATAAAAGAAAAGTCGGTGGCGACTCTTGCTAACTGCAACATTTGCGATCGAACGCAAAACACCAAAGTCAGTTCTCCCACCGTATCACCAGAACTGGAGACTTTGCTGGGGATCTACTTAAAAGTGGGGTTACCTTAGGGTTATATCACATTTACTTGCTTACATTGTTTGATTTGTATGCTTTATATTATGGTTCTTTGTTTGGGTTTGAATCCTCTACACGGATTTGTGATACATTATAGGTAAGTAGCAATACATTGTGGAAACTGTGTGGGGTATACCGACATGGTCTAAGCAATAGCTATGTTAGTGTGATATATTTGTGGGTACCGGTAGCCTTTGAGTTAATCATAGAGAATACGGGGCCGCTGAGTGATGTCATAAAGCACTAATGAACTTTTAGAATCTTTACTTGACCAACTTGGCCTTTAGGATATAGTGAGATGGCCGGCTTTGGTGCAATCCGAAGTTGGAAGATACTCAATACTACACTCATTGAGGTTTGGTTTCTTGGGATATTTCGGTCGCCATTAAAGAGGCTTGTGCTGAAACAATGACCAAGGAAACAAACCAGTGATATTGAGCTCCTTAGAACCCGATTACTATTACTAGGACAGGTTTGAGCCAACTAAACTTCAAGAGGGTACTTACCTATAAAACCTCATGCAAGCCTAAACCTAAGAACTTGTTTGCTTTGTTTGTATATACATACTTGTACATAACATCATGAACATCATGAACATCATATACATCCACTAACCATTTCAAGAATTTTGGGATTCATCTTTGTTCTTGTTTTGTAGGATATGGATTCACTTCGCAGGAAAACTATTCAAGTCAACCTTGTAAGGATCCCTCCACAACTTAAGGAGCTAGCTTCAAGGATTCCTGAAAACGCTCCATTTACCGAGAGACATGGTCGCCTACTCAACTTGGTCACCTCCAACACAGATGAGGATATGATGAAGGTGCTCTTTCAGTTCTTTGATCCTCTACACCATTGCTTCACATTTCCCGACTATCAATTTGTACCAACTTTGGAAGAATTCTCCCAACTCTTGAGAATTCTCATTCTCTTGGTCGGTTCCTGGTTTTCTGGCCGACTTGAGGTCGGACAGACTAAGAGGCGCTCGTCGATCGTCGTAGGTCAGTGCTGGTCCAGGAGGGAAAATGATCAATGATGTCCGATAGAGCGCGGGGGAGCCCGGGCCGTGCGACCACGGGCCGTGCCAAAGTAGGAGATCAGACTGGACCTACTATAGTCATTAGATCAGTCTAAAACACTTTCTATTTCTCAGTGTGACTATTGAGTTGCCCTGTAAAATTTAAATAATATTGTAAAAGTTTCAAATAACGTGAAGGCATTCTATAACAATACATAATATAAAAAATATAAAAAAAATAAAAGATGATTATAGTAAAATTATTATTAATAGTATGTTTTAAAATAATAAAGCTTCTAAGAATTTGACACTCGGCAAACGTACTAAAAAACTCATTATCTTTTAATTTATTTAATAAATAAATAGATTCTAATTTGACTAACGAAAATAGATTTAAGAGACTAAAAAGTAACTAGTGAATTAAAATAAAATCATAAATTAGTTAAGAGACTAAAGACTAAAAGTTTAATTAAACCTTAATTTTTTCATTATAAATAGAGATTATCCCTCAACTTTATACTCATGCCAAAACTTCATCCTCTTCTTTCTCTTTTTTACTCTTTGAATTTTCAGAACAATGTTTCTTCATTTTCTTTGAAATTTTTTATTTATGGAGAGAAGTTTCCTAAAAAGACGTCTCGCTCTTCGTCTAAAAAATTATTACCAGTAATCAACGAACCAAATTTTGAGAGTGTAATTCTACAAGGTTCCTAGTTCCTACAATGCAGAAGGGTAACGAACAATGTTACTAGGTTGTTTTATATATGAACTATTGATAGTCTGTTTGCATGATTTTGGACAATGTTCCTTCTTACCTAGTACGCGACTTCAAATAAAACAGACTTCAAGTAAAACTTCTTCCCACAGCTTTATACTCACACAAAAACATCACAGTCTTCTCTATATTGTTTGCTCTTTGAGTTTTTAGAACAGCTTCTCCTCTTTCTACTCATTGAGTTTTTTAAATATTTATATGTTGTCTTCGAAAATATTTCTATACGGAAAAAAATTCTTCTCGGAGATCTCTAAAGTTATTAGTTGGTTTCGGAAAATTTTCTCTTCGTTTAATAAAATAATATTATATTTTAAAGTCATATTCGATATCAGACTCTTGACAAGTCCTTCGTATCCAACACGATTGATGTGTGAATATAAATATTAGATGGTTAAATAACATACTCTTGACACACTATAAATGTTAGATGGTTAAATAGCATACCCTTGACACACCCCCTCACATCTAGCAAAATCAAAAAGACATTTCTATTACCACTACACTTTACTTATTAAACATCTCCCCCAATATTACTACGGATAACAAATGGAACAACTGATGACATTTATTGCTAATATTCATAGCTTCAAATACATTGTAAGTGCAATATAAGGATGAGAATACCCTGTAATAGATCAGTTCTTCGTTGATGATGAGTAGAACAATAATCATCAAAGTCATCAATCTTCAATATTTTATACTATTCTTTTTCAATTTAACTCGTCATTCCACATTTTGTATAACAATTTGTATTAAGCAATTCAGAATAATGTGCAGGTATATGAACAGTTTAATAGACACGAGCTTTAGGAGGGAATGATTCGACCTCATCATCCAAAGTATTCATGTGCACTGGCCTGTAATCTAACCGGACCTTCTCATTTTCCCAATACCTGCAAATTAATGCATAAAAGCTTGGCTAACAGATTCAACTCGCAGACAAGATATCTATCATCAAAAGCATTACAGTTGCATTAACACATTAACTGAAACATGACTTACCCCAATGTGTGTTTCATCCACTTCTCATCATCTCTTTTCTGCAAAATTAAGAAAAGGTATTCGATTAAACAATTAGTGATTCATAGTAATGGTGTAAATTTACACGATAATAAAATACAGCATACTAACCGTGAAGTCTTCGCGGGCATGAGCACCTCTGCTTTCTTTCCTGGCTTCAGCAGAGTGCATGGTAATGCAGGCATTTATCAAAAGATTTTCCAACTCAATAGTCTCAATCAGGTCAGAATTCCTGGGATGATTAGTCAAGAAACTTTCAAAATGAACAAGCATATTCCTTTAAATACCATACCACGAAACAATGTAACATATGGTAAGAATTGTTTTACCATATCAGGCTACGATCCTTCAACTTGACATCATGAAAGCTCTCCCATGCTCCATCAATCAATTGACATCCTGTCACACATCAGACTAAACTCAGAGAGCAAACATACAGATGTGAAGATCAAATATGCACCTAGGGAAAGAGAGGAAAGGGTAAGAATATCAAGCACTAACGGAAAAAATGGCTTACCTTGTTCTAATGTTTCTCGTGTGCGGAATACAGCAGCATTATTTTGCATTATTCGTTGCATGTTCAACCTAATTTTCGAAGTGGGCAATGATCCATTTGAATTTCTCAATTTGTCAAGCCAAGCAATTGTTTTCATACCAGCGTCTTTCTCTAAAGGCTTTTGTTTCTCTCCTGCAAAATGGAAAACATATTACCTTTTATCACTCGAGTTCAGTGCAAAGTCTATTTTGATAAGTGGGAGTAAATCTTGCCTGGTCTTTGGATTTCTGCAACTCTGTTTGCACAGGCTCTACCAAAAACAACAATGTCCAGAAGTGAATTTGCACCAAGCCTATTGGCACCATGGACTGAAGCACAGGCTGCTTCCCCAGCAGCCATTAGCCCAGGAATTATTTCATCCGGATTGTCACCTTTAATGGTAACCACCTGAATAAGAAAGTTGTATATTAGAAAAAGTGTTGTATTTTTCATGTTTTGCTGCACAAGTAACCCAATAAGGCTAGAATATGAATGTTAGGCTTTCTTTATCTTTTTCAATTGGAGGTCTTACTTCAAAGTTTAAGAAGCTTGTTTCAACAATGTACCTCTCCATGATGATTAGTGGGGATACCACCCATGTTATAATGCACAGTTGGTAAAACAGGAATGGGTTCCTTGGTAACATCCACACCAGCAAAAATTGCAGCAGTTTCAGATATACCAGGTAGTCTCTCCTTAAGAACATCTGGGGGTAAGTGATTCAAGTGGAGATATATGTGATCTTTCTCTGGTCCTGCAAACAATTTCCACTATCATTACTAACAAAATGTCCAACTTGAATGGAAGGTAAAATATTTTCAACCCAAAAAACAGAATATACAAATCAATATGCTCAAAAACTGGTTTCCACTTGAGCAATATAGCAGTTAGTATGTTCAATATAAATCTTTTGTGAGGGCATAAACATATTAATTTAAAGCCAGCATACCTACACCACGACCTTCCCGAATCTCCATAGTCATTGATCTAGAAACTACATCTCTTGATGCGAGATCCTTTGCCGTAGGAGCATATCTTTCCATAAACCTCTCACCTTCACTGTTCCTAAGAATTCCACCTTCACCGCGAGAGCCTACCAAGTGTAAGAAAGAAAATGAGAAACATTGTATAATGCAGTTTAGTTGGACTATGTACACTATATGTAAACTAAAAAAAAAATACCAACCTTCTGTGATAAGGCAACCAGCTCCGTATATACCTGTTGGGTGAAACTGCACAAACTCTAAATCCTACGGAATATACAACAGTGGAAGTGAGTGATCAAAGGTTCACTACTTAAGATATAAGCTTAATATTAAATTTGCAAGGTGCGAAAGAAACCTCAAGTGGTATTCCAGCCCGAGCAACCATGGCATTGCCATCCCCGGTGCATGTATGTGCTGAAGTTGCAGAAAAGTATGCTCTACCATAACCCTAGCATAATACAGAAGAGTGATACTCATATATCCATAATAAGTTAAATACCTAAATTAAAACCTGGTGTCCAGAAAGCAATAGAAAATCATGTACCCCAGTTGCCAAAATTGTCGAAGCAGCTTGAAAACGGTGTAATGTTCCATCTTCCATATTCAAGGCTATTACTCCTTGGCAAGTACCTGCATTCCATTATGCAAAACTAGTAATATTTACTATCAAGATATAAATCAAATTCGCAGACATATATTTCATCCAGCGTTGTGCAGCTCATTAAATCCTTCCTTATGAGTGTTGAAACTTTCTTCAATTAATCAACAGGATATTGTTCTAATCATAAGCAAACCATTTTGTGCTGCATCTTACCATCACTGTTCATTAATAGATCCAGTGCAAAATATTCCACAAAAAACTGTGTATTATGCCTCATAGCCTGGCCATAGAGAGTGTGCAGTAGAGCATGTCCTGTTCGATCGGCAGCACACGCACAACGATATGCCTGACCACCTATAGAATAGCAACATACCGAAGCCAAGATCAGAACTCGTGCAGTATAAAAGCTAACATCACTACCCCAAAATCTACATTTACCTTTTCCAAAGTTCAAGCTCTGACCACCAAATGCACGCTGGTATATTCTTCCATCTTCGGTTCGTGAAAATGGCAATCCATAGTTTTCAAGTTCAATGACTGCTTTTGGTGCCTCCCTACACATATATTGGATAGCATCTTGGTCTCCTGCAGAACACAGAGCTTGTATTTTAGCATCCACAAAAGAAAAAGCAAATGATACAAGAATCTCTACCCGCCACAATGTTTGTAATGGGAAACTACTCTTTCTAATCATATAAAAACTTTACAGGACAAAAGTAAAATAAAATTTCTAAGATTGAGGAAGTCTGTACCTAGCCAATCACTTCCCTTGACTGTATCATACATGTGCCACCTCCAGTCATCTTCAGTCATATTTCCCAATGCAGCATTTATACCACCCTGCACACAAAATATATTCAGGTTTCCAAAGATGTCAGATGTACGTGTGTTTGATTTTGTAGTGAAGAAGAGCGAGTTGAAGATAAAGTGATTTATATCTAGATGAATTGCTGTAAAAATGAGTTGAATAGTAAATTTCAATGTAAAAATCACAAAGCTACAAATCCTAACATCAAGTAGAATCAATTATGAAAAGCATAATCAATTCTACTAAAAAGCAACCAAACATGTTAAAATCAATTCTACACATCCAGAATCAAT